CTGTATATAAATATTTATATTTTTTGTGTAAAAAATAGTAAGATATTACTTTTTGTTTCACAATAAATACACATATCTATGAATATTTTATATGTGTTTTGTACCATTACAATAGAATCAAGGAATCAATAAATTCTATACAACTTACTAATTGCTCGAAAACAAGAAAAATTTCTATCGAGAATAAATTGCTACAAATTTAATACATCATAAGTACCAATAAATTCAGATATTGAGTTATTAAGCTACTTTTCTAGAGAACCAGTGCTGATAATATTTGGATAAAGTTTCCTAAGAAATATATCTTCTCAACACCATTTTACTCAAAATTTAAAAGAAATTTGGGCACAAAAGTGAAAAATAATATATATATATATATATATATATATATATATATATATATATATATATATATATATATATGTTTATATATATATATATATATATATATATATATATATACATATATATATATATATATATATATATATATATATATATATATATATATATATATATATATATATATATATATATATATATATATATATGTTTATATATATATATATATATATATATATATATATATATATATATATATATATATATATATATATATATATATATATATATATATATATATATATATATATATATATATATATATGTATATATATATATATATATATATATATATATATATATATATATATATATATATATATATATATATATATATATATAATAGATATATATAATATAGATAAAAATAGCATTTTACAAAAATAGTAACCAATTATATAAAAACCAACATGATTCTCTTTATCAACATCATTCCATGCTTATTTTACATCAAGATCATTCTGGACCGTTTTCTTATTGTGTTACTGTCCTAGCTGATGAAAAATGCGAAAAAAAATATCTATCAGGCCAAATGAGAGTCAACATTAATGCCTTTAATTCTTTATAGTTCACAGAAAGTTTGTGACTTGTATTTCTTATAGTTGGTCGAGGTAAAAGTGAATGTCAATAAATGAAGCCTCATCCATTCAAATTTTGCTCTTGAAATGATTTCTACCTAAAATTTTAGGATGCGGTTTTTCATCATGCTGTTGTTAGCAACAACAACAACAACAACACAAGAAGCTGTTTATTTGTTAGTTGTTTATTTTCTGCAAACCATTTTTACAATAGTAATAATTAAAAGTAAGTAAATTGGTGTTATGAAAGTACTGTAAAGCTTATTTGGGACAAACACAAGTTTGTTAGAAATGTAAAGAGGAGACAGCTTTTGCTTTTATTTTCAAACAACTGCAAAAGTAAAAAGGAAAAAGCAAGACCACCAACAAAAACAAAAAAACTATGAATAAATAAAACAAAATATTTTTTTTTTAATAAAAATTTAATAAAAAGTTTGTTTTATAATTTTGCTAGGCGTTTTGTGTAACAAATATGTGGTGCTTTTTTTAAAAAACTTAAAAATATCATAAGTTATTGTAATGCGTAATTATCGGAAAAATTCATCATACTCACTACAATACCAATTTGAATTAGTTTTAAGATCTTATTAACTAGTCTTTAATAGAAGAGAACTATTAGCGATTTTAGCAGTCTGTTTAACTAGATTCTTATATTTTAAAAAATTAAATAATTTTACTTTTCTTTTGCATCAATAGCCTCTGAAAGTTCATGCAAAAGCAACCATTATCAAGTTCTGAAAATGTCTCTAAAATTTTAAAGCAGTGGTTTTGAGCTTTATTTTTTAATTTTTTCAAAGATTTGTTGAAACGACATAAAGTATGCGCTTCCAGCCCCCTGACACAACATACTTAAAGTTTAAATACTTAAAGCTCTTTGAATAAATTTGGATGTATAACCAAGTAACAAAATTTCTTTTTACCTAGCTTTATAAGTTTGCGTGATGTACATAACAAATATTTTGTTAATTAAAGTTACCCTTAAATATATTGGTTGTTGCTCTTTCAAAAGTCAGTGTCACATTGCTGATGAGGAAAGTAGTTGTTACAGGGAAAGGTCATCTGGTAGTTCAGTGACACAACTCAACGGATCTCTAAACCTTTTTTCATCATCAAATTTATAAACTTAAATAACTCTCAAGACATCATTAAAAATTTTAAGAAATAAAAAAGTTCCCTTAACATTGATTTGGTTTACATCAGAATGTGCTGATAATACAGAACGTATTTTTTTACAAAAACTCTCAAATACAAAGAAATACTTTTTCACTCAACAGGCTTTGGTAAGACTGAAGTTTTATTAAATTTGTCACAAGTTATATTATTTTTAACCAATATAGTTTCTTAAGGTCATTTTTTCAAAGTCAAATTATTATAATAGCCCTTAATCTGTATTTCATGTATTTTTTTAAGTAATTTAATTATTTATTATATTTTGTTATACCTGAACATAATCATAAACTAAGAAAAAAGTTATTTTTAGTCAACAATTGTTTTTTTACAACAGTTTCAAAGAGAAAGAAAAACTTATCACTGAACTTATTATTGTCACATAGATTATTGTCACATAGATTTGCATTTAAAATTGATCCAAGTATAAAAATAGCAACTTCATACTAAAAATTAAAAGAATTTTAGATGAAACTAAAGAGTCAAGGCAACATATTGGAATCATGCAATCTATAAAAGTGGGTTCACCAAAATAACATTTAATCATAGCAGTTAATATTGTTTTTGTATATTTTTCTTGTTGATTAACAGATTTACCGAAAGGTTCTTCACCTTAAATAAATTAATGAAACTTTATAACATTAAATCTACTATTAAAACACTCTGTCTTTAGCGATTTGTAAGTTAGTTATATATACATAGAAAAAGATTGTGTTTGTTTAATTTAAAAGCGTGATTTTTTTACGTCAATTATTGAAGAGTATAAATACCAGGAAGCCGGTAATCATTTCTAATTTGTTTGTAAAGTGCTCTTGAAGCAGCACAATATTCAAAAGCACAAACAAAAGTGTCTGTAAAAACACAATATATCATTATGACTTGAAATTTTCATAAAAGTTTCTATAAAAATTATTTTTTCTCGATAGCTAAACATTTGTCAAAATATATATTAAAGCTTCAATAAAATTCGACCTTTTGTTCAAAATAGAAACATTGTTTTATGACACACTTGTGACATAAAATAAGATTCCATAGAGATACGTTTTATATTTTAAATTAGAAGAAAGTTTCAGCATAAACTTAATAAAAAAATTCAGTTCAAAAAAAATAAGATAATAACTTTAATATTAATATTACCTTGATAGACTTATAGTAGAAATCTTGGTTAAAAACTAGTTTATTCATCGCATTCATATATCATTATTTACTTCAATATTTTTTTAAATTTAAATACTGACTTGATATAATGGAAACTGTCCATGGCTGTAAATGTTGATGAGCTTGTATATTTTTTGCACTTAAACCTGCTTTGACTGGAAAAGGACGTAACCACTTTTTGCATTCTTCCGTATCGGTTGAATAATTATTAGAACAATTAGAAATACAACACTTCGAAGGCATATTAAGTTCTGGTTTAGGAAATTATTTATTTTTTCTAAAATTAAGTAAATCTACGTAAATAAATATTTGAAAAATTTTCTGAAGTAATCAAACTCCAGTTTTTTTAAAAGCTGACCCGTCGTGGTTAATTACAAAATTTCTTCGAAGGTGAAATTTGATCGGAAGTTTCATGTTTGCATTCAAGGTGAGGCAGCCGCAAATATTTTTTAGTTTCAGCTTTTCTGTTTACTTATGCTCATATTCTTTAAAACACTCAAACTTTTACATTACAAACTTAATCAGTAGTTAGTTGCTAACCACCACGGTATTCAAGTATAGTTTAGGATTTTGAAGTGTTTATTATTATTGTTTGGTTTTTTGCCAATTTTGAATATGTCACGTTAGAATATTACATATATATGCAATAGCATTGAAAATGGTTAGTTGCTGATTTGCTACAAAAACCTGTAAACTGGCCGGGTGAAAAAAAATGAGCAATTGCTTTTACTCAGTACTTGGTCAGCTTTACATGATTAAAAACTTCATTAATTTGGCGTTTCATAAAATTTATATAAAATATTGCAAACTAGGCTAATATAACAAAAAAAAAGTATTTAAAAAGACATTGCTTTTTATAAAAAAAAGACTTTACCAAAATAAAACCTTTGGTCAATTTAAAATTTATTTTTTTCAAGAAAAAAAAAATGATAATCTATATAGAAAAATTGTTAACAAGGCTAAAAGTAGCAATGCCAAGGCCAAGACCAAGGTTACACGTTACAAGGCCGAGACAAAAGACAAGACCGAGGCCAAGACCAAGGTTAAGTCCAAGGTCAAGACCAAAGCCAAGACGAAGGCCAAGACCAAAGCCAAGACCAAGGCCAAGACCAAGGCCAAGACCAAGGCCAAGACCAAGGCCAAGGCCAAGACCAAGGCCAAGACCAAGGCAAAAAGTTACAATGACATGGCCTAACCAAGTCCTACGCAAACATTTTCAAGACCAAAGATATAAATTTTTACATTAAAGCCAAATATTAACAAAACTGTAGGTAACAATTGTTATGACAATAAAGCCACATACAGTTAAAATAAACCAAGGTTACGCCCAATTCAACGAAGTCTATAAGAAAATATATTTGTAGATATATATGAAAGCCGAAAACAAAAATACATAAAAATTAAGAATAAAAACTTTTAATTCTTTAATTTCATTTACATTTCTTGGACCAAAGCCAAGACAATCAAAGCCAAGGCTAAAAACTTCAAGGCTAAGACCAAAGCCAAGGCCTTAGTTTATGGCTTTTAGGAAAGCCCGAGGCCAAGGTCAAAGAAAAGGTTTACGGTACCTAATTCTAGAAGTCAATTGCTCAAAGTTGAGGTTGGGGAACGTTTAAGTTTGTCACCGTGATACTTTGCTAATTTTTTGTTTGATAGTTTAAAACATTTTTATATTCTAATAACTTAACTTCTTACTTTGAAATTGCATCCAATGTAAAAATATTTACAATTAATAATTGTATTAGCGCAACTATCAGCGATATGAGATGACATCTATGAATAAATGTGAAAAATGGTATATTTACCAAATATAGCAAAATGTTTTTTATATAAAACTGTTTCTTCAACTATTAATCAAACCTCTTTACGAAAAAGTTTCATGCCACATTGATTTACACAATAAAGAGGTAGACATTCGCAAGCTTCCATGTGATTCTAAAGGTAGTTTTACAAAACAACTATTATATTTGATAAAAAACGAAAAAAAGTTAATTTTCACATAAGTTTGACTTGATTAACAACAACTTTTTTTTTCATCATCATCATCATCATCATCATCATCATCATCATCATCATCATCATCATCATCATCATCATCATCATCATCATCATCATCATCATTATCATCATCATCATCATCATCATCATCATCATCATCATTTTTAATATCATTATTCTCTTCAACATCATAAACAATAATACTAATTATTCCCATGAATAAAAGCAATAGTTTTTAATCTGCTATAGCAAATTTAAATAACAATTTTGAATAATTTTAGTTTTTTGTTTTATTTTTAAGAACATATATTTCCTCACTATGGATTTTTAAAAAAAAAATTTTTTAAATTTACACATATTATTTAATTATGCATTGATGCAAGTTTGTTTACTTTAAATATCAAAGATTGCATCAAATGACTTTTTCCTTGCTATCAAAGCACATTTTTAAATAAAATAGAACTACATAATGAACTCATACAACTTTAATAAAATGATTTAAGTGTGATTTAAGTAATAAAACTTTTAGTTTTTACAAAAAAAAAAAAATAATAATAATGCCCACTTACTAGTAACAAATACGATTATGAAAAAATTTGCAGCTAAAAAAATAAACTATTCACTTTTAGAAATTTCTAAAAGAGCAAGTAAAAACTTTCCTTCAAAATTATAACTTAGCTTTCTACTAACTACATTTACTATTATATTATTACAATACTTTTTGTCAATCTTTCTAACCCAATACGTTTTATAATATTTAAACCGACTTTAAAAACAATTATATCTAAAATCTTTTATCACTTTTTTTTTAGTGTATGCATGCAAATCATTGTGACAAGTAAAAAACATAGAATCTTAAATTGCATTCACTTCAATCAAAATTTAAAACAACATTACTTCTTAATCTAATTATTATAAGTTTGAATACTAGAAAATAATTTTTTGTCTTTTGTAAAGTTTACTAACAAATAATGTATATTAAACGGTATTGTGTTGATTTATTACCATTTTCAATTTAAATTTCAATTTAACAAAAACTGAAAATTATTTAAAACAAATTCACTTCCATCAAGATTGCGATTCATTTTTTACAAGGTGAAACACACAACTCACAAAATTCATTTCCATCGCGACTGCAAGCAACTATTAACTAAGCTGAGAGTGGACACAGCAGAGAGCTAAAGAGGAATATAGTAATTGACAGAAGACCTGAAAAATTGTAAAATTTATAAAAACTATGTTTGAGGAAAACATACATTTAATGATAGCAGAATTGATAGTATTTTTTGAAAAGAGAAAAAAAATGTAGTTCTCTGAAAATTTGACAGAAACTCAAGATAAGCAGTTAGAGCAGATCTAACTAAGTTTTCAATACATTTAAAGAGTTTTTTTAAATAGAAATAGTGTTTTATTAGAAAAACAAGCCTAAAAATGACAAAAAAATTTCTTACGAGGACAAATATGGTATTTATAATGGTAGACAACGGTGTCAAAAGGTGTTAAAGTACGACAAGCACAATAAGGAGAGGCAACCTTTGCATATAGCAACTTTTCAATAAGTTTTAAGCAAATTACTTAAAAGAATAGCGAGAGATGTCAAACCTGATTTTGGAACAAATAGATGAGTTAAAAAGTAAGTATGTGCTGAGACCACAATTTTTTGTTAAAGCAAATTGAAGCAATACCATGGTAATGATTTTTTTTTTAGTTAAGATTTTATCATAAATTAACATGTTTTTAACAATTAAAGAACTTGAATCTGAAATAGATAATGCATGTTAAAATACGCAGCAAACAATGCAGTTGCTTTGTTTTTGGAAATAAGCCCAAAGATATAAAAAGAGATCATTAAGCGGCTTTGAATAACTGCACCAAATCCACTAACAAGTAAACCTCTCATTTGCAATATAACGCTGTGTTTTACATTGATACTTTACAGTTGTTAAAAGATTTAGCGTCTGTGATTGTTTACACAGAGTTTGGAAATACTTACAAAAAGCCAGCAAAAAAATCATTATAATGAGTTTTCGAGCCTCATTAAGAGAAATTAGTTGCATAAGCACTAACAAGAAGACACAAACAAAACCCATTAGTACAGTAGAGAAGATCCAATGTTCGTTATCCTAGGCAGTAAACAATGCACCACAGGTTTTCATCAACCCCACGTGGATCTGTTTATAAACATTCGGCATCTAAACCGATCCAAAATTGCCAAAATTATGGTTCTGCGCATATTTAATTACATAATAACTCAAAACTATGGCACCACGCTTATATTATGTCATCTAGAAAATGGATCTAAGATAAAACAAAATGTAAGCATGGTACCGTAAAACAACACCCAACGAATTTGTGGTTCGGTTGTTTGTCAATCTAATAAAAAGTTGAATAATAAAAAGTGTTTCTATTTAGTAAGAACAATTTCATTATATATTATTTATAATGAATATGTAAGAATTCTATTGCAATTTTGAACTATGTTTAAAATATTGATGTTATTGGGGATCAATTAAATGTTTAAGGTTCTTGAGGCACTTATAATGACTAATAAAGCTTATTTCAAATCGTGAAAATTTACAAAAATTAAAATCATATCTTAACAGTAAAAAATATAAAATAAAACAGTAGAAGTATTAATATAGTAATAAAAGGTAGACTTTACTTTTAATTTTCATGCATACTTTTAATTTTCAATTAAAAGTATGCATGAATCAAATCTGTTAATTTTTTAAAATGTTTAACTAAATTATTTTTGTTCTTTTATTCCTTGAAAATCTTCGAGGTAATACTTTTGACTTAAGTTTAATGGTTAAAAATCTAATGGTTTGAGGTAATATTTTGTTTTGAGTTTAATGGCTAAAAATCTAGCAGCGATTATTTTCATCAATTGAACAACATTTAAGTCCATATAAAAATGATTAACATGTAAGTCCTCATAAAAAATGATGTGACTACATCGAAATCAGTTGATCTATGTACGGTTTAAGCAGTTATTTAATGAAACTTTGAGAAATAAAAATAAATAACGAACATAACTATATAAACAATAACTATAAAACTACTTAAAAATTAAAACTAAATAAAATTATTTAAGCATTAGAATAAAAAATAAAAAATCCCAAATAAAGGTTTGAACCTTCAACCTTGTCAACCACGCCTCAAAAAATAATAAAAATTAATACTGACTATAGTTTTTAAAAAAGTTTGTAAATGATTTTCAGTTTTTTTTATTTTTATTATTATTAGTGTAGTTATTATTATTATTTTTATTTTTTTATTATTTTTTATTATTTATGATATTCTTCACATCCACAGAAGTACACAACTATTGCATCGATAAAAAAATTAAAGTATTTTAATATAAATCTTATTGCGTACAAATATGGTTTTCATAATGTAAACATTATTAGTATGCACATTCAAACAATGACTTCCGAATAGGAAATGAAACACTTATAATTATTATAAGTGTTTCATCATACTTGTAAAACAACGCGCCTTGTTTTTGTTTTTGGCAATTTGTATTTGACCCATATACATTGCACGAAAAATCATAACTATGGAATTTTTTAAAAAAAGCTAGTTGCTCCTAAAAATTTAAGAGTTAAAAACTCTTTGAAAACTTATATCCAGTTTAAATTAGTCATAAATCCCTTAGAAACGCTTTCAGAATATAAGTACTGCAAGAAAGCGCACAGTGGTCAACAGAGTTATGAAATGGCGAAACAATTATTTATATGAACTTTTTCAGTCATTTTGGTTTAAAATAATTAAAGTTAGAATAAAAATCCGTTTTAAAACAAAATAAAATAAAAAATAGCAGTAATATGACAAAAAAAAAAAAAAAAATTCATCAAATGCATATTTTTACTCTAGCCAAGTCAACTTGAAAGTACTTTTAAATAATAAAATTGAATAACTACGCTAATAATAATAAAAACTAATATATAATAATAACTACACTAATAATAATAAAAATAATAAAAACTGAAAATCATTCACAAACTTTTTTAAAAACTATAGTCAGTAAGATGCAAGATGTCATTTTCAGAGCCAGATTCAGAATCCCAAACTACTTGCAAGATAGGAGTTAAAAGTAATTTCCTGATTTCACTGGATGTAGGTTGTGAATGATTCTGTTGTTTTTTGTGTTTTGTTAATAGACTTCTAGTCACAGGGTCAATTGAATCAATCAAACGCAAAAACAATTATTTTAAACTATCAGTCCATGAAGTCTTCCTGAAATGGTCAATTTTAGTCAAGAATGTAGGAATAGCGGATTTCTCCTGGTTCTTCAATATTCATTTGTCAATCCTATAGGTAGGGAACAGTTTTCAACCAAAGCCTCGCCATAACAAAGAACTTTGTGAAGAGTTGGAGTGATTGGAAACCAATTGCGATGATCAAAGTAGATTGCCTTAGTTTCATCACAGAGTCTACCAAATGTTTCAGCATCCAAAGCAAATCCACAAGCCAGTGCGACCCAAATAATAGCCAAGTTTCGGACAAGCGATTCAGGTATACCACAAATTTGAGCTAGAAAATCATGGCTAGAATCATTAACCATTTTCTTTTTGAGTGCATGATTGTACAGGAATATTCATTTGTCAATCCTATAGGTAGGGAACAGTTTTCAACCAAAGCCTCGACATAACAGAGAACTATGTGAAGAGTTGGAGTGATTGGAAACCAATTGCGATGTTCAAAGTAAATTGCCTTAGTTTCATCACAGAGTCTACCAAATGTTTCAGCATCCAAAGCAAATCCACAAGCCAGTGCGACACAAATAATAGCCAAGTTTCGGATAAGCGATTCAGGTATACCACAAATTTGAGCTAGAAAATCATGGCTAGAATCATTAACCATTTTCTTTTTGAGTGCATGATTGTACAGGAATATTCATTTGTCAATCCTATAGGTAGGGAACAGTTTTCAACCAAAGCCTCGCCATAACAGAGAACTTTGTGAAGAGTTGGGGTGATTGGAAACCAATTGCGATGATCAAAGTATATTGCCTTAGTTTCATCACAGAGTCTACCAAATGTTTCAGCATCCAAAGCAAATCCACAAGTCAGTGCGACACAAATAATAGCCAAGTTTCGGACAAGCGATTCAGGTATACCACAAATTTGAGCTGTGACCACTGAAAAGAAGTAGTTAATTTTGAAAAATCATGGCTAGAATCATTAACCATTTTCTTTTTGAGTGCATGATTGTACAGGAATATAATAGAAAAAAGTTACCTTAAATATTTTGCATGCAGGAAAACGTTTCTGAAAATATCAGAGTACATTTTTCTAATCTTGATTTTAAGGTGGTAGACTACTAATTATATCAAATCCTTCAAAAATTACATTTTAGATATTATTTACATCTAAATTGACTTAAATTTACTCTTGAAAGACAAAATTAAAAAAAAAAATCAAATTTTTTTTTTTATTTTAGAAATTTGGTTCCAGAAACCCCAAAATATTATCATTTTGTTGCGGTGATTATCTCAAAAACTAATGAAGCTATTAACTTGAAATTTTCAAAATTTACTTTTAATGCAATAGGGAATATCCTGTACCAAAATCAAGAACATTCACTAAACAGATTTTTTTTATAATAAAAATATTATAAAATAAAAAATGTTATGGCCTAAATACTTTTGAATTGGATTATCGTAGTGTCATAAATGTGGTAGGGGACATTCATAACAACAAAAGGAACAACTTCTAAAAATTTCATGGAATTTAATTCAGAAAATCTTGAGATATTCACCGCGAAGTCGTGAAATTTAGAGGTCTGAGAAAAACACATTTAAACAAAAAAAGCATATAATTTTTCTAACAAATATTAAAAAGCCACGTAAAAGGCCTTTTGACAAATATCAACTTATATTAAAAGTGTTTTGGAGTAAAAGTAGAGAAAATTATAAAAAAATTGTTTTAAAAGAGGTTTTATTAACAGGCATTAATACTTTCAACGTTAGATTTCATTAAAAAAGTCTAACTTTTGATTTGTAATTTATTTTTAAATAAAAACTCCCATCAGTTTTATGCCAATAGTTATTATAGTACATAAATATCAAGTATATATATAAACTAAATATATAAAAAAAAATATATATATAAGAAGTATTCTCATTAACTATTGTGTTTTTATTATAGTTTTATTTTCAGAATATAAACTTATTTTCAGAGCTTCTTCGCTGCGGCATTCATGCTAGCTTCAGCTATGTAACTGTTATAATTTTTTTGTTTAACTAGTTAAAAAATTTCTTCATGGGATTAAACATGTTCATAAAACCACAAAACTTTTCAATACTACAGTATTCTTTACCCATTTCACAAAAAACTAATATTGTACATAAGTAAACATTAAAAATTCATTGCTGCTGGTTTGTTTATAATTTTAGTAGAATAAAACTTATGAATAAAATTAGGAGACAGTTTTAAAAGCCATATTGTTTTGAGCACCATAAAAATTTATAATTTAGAAGTTATATTTCAGGAAGTTTTTCATAGCAAACAATGGCATCCATTATTCCATCTCATATGTTGGTGTTCATTAATATGTAACAGTCATTTGTAACATTGAACTGATCGTAATTAGCAGAACTATTATTTTTATTTACAAAACTATTATTTAAACGTTTTACAGATAATACACTGCTGGATCTGGATGTACACATGTCCAATTAATTTTTTTTGCTATGCTACATTCAAATATGAGTTCATGCAAATTAGATACATTTTCTTCAGCTGCATTGTTTGTTGATTGATTTTGATTTTCTTTAAAAAGTTTAAATAAGTATTTTACTATGCCTTGTTTTATTTATTATTATTTTTTTTTTTCCATTACTTTCCATTTCTAATATTATTTAATCGAAGTGATAGGATAAATGTAGCGTGATACAGAAAACAACAACTATAATTAGAAATTTCAATTAAACTCATGTAGCCAAATGTACCAAAAGTATCAATAAATGAAAAGTAGTTTTAGAGTTGCAATCACCACATCTGGTATTTTATATAAAAAAAATTAAACTATAGTTATGATACAGTTTTTTTTTTAATTGTATAGCAACAAATTAAATAAAGCGTTGCTATGGAAAAATAAAAAAGTTTATTAATACCGCTTAATCAAAAAACAGTTTTAGCTATTATTATTTAGCTTGGTGTTAGCTATTTTTTTTCATAATACTAACTTGAAATTTGTAATTTACGATAGCTACATTATTTAAAAAAATTATAATTGAAAAAAAGATTTTTTTGATTTTTAATAGTGCTCTCCACCTTAAGATACCTGGGTTTTGAAATGCTACTCTTGCAAAATTTCCTGTTGTTGTTGTGCTAGCTCCACTATATCTGCGTTGGTTCACATTCAAACCAAGGTAGTCCTTGAAATCTTGACTTTTTCTTCTCTTACTAATATTTATAAATTTTTAAAATTTTAAAGTTTATAAAGTTTTAAAACCTTCATGCTAATGTAGTTTATGTAGTTGAACTTAAATGTTGATAATTTAGTTGGATTAAATAAGGAACTATTGAAAGGTGCACAAAGTATAATAGGTAAAGGTAGGCTAGAGAAAATATTGATTACTTCTTTTACATTTTTACTGAATAGTTCAAAAGGTTTTGAAGTTGAACTTTTGCTGTTAGTGCATCTTCTTTGATTCCATCAAGTCTGCAGTTTTTTTTGTTTCAAGAGTGAATGCCTTTCCTGAAGTCAAATTTACAGATTTTAGTTGAAATTACATTAGCAAAAAATTATAAACTATTCTTGCTATACTTATTAACTAAAGAGTAAATTAATATGTCTTACTTACAGCATTATAATTTGGCCAAATATCAGAAAAGTTTTCAGCACATTCCTTTTTTAGTTGGCAATATGTTCTTTTGGAAATATTGTTGTTGAGGATGAAGGCAAGGGCAGCAGTTGGTATTTTTTGGACAGCATCTGTAGAGGAGGTTCTAAAGCTGCATTCATAGCTTTGTTGACAACCTTTTTAGGCTGATTTAGTAGTTTGCGGGTCAAAAACCGCAGTTCTGTTGGAGACTGAGCTGCAACTAACAAAATAGCACAGTTTTCATGATTGGGATGAACTTCTGCATTTGAAAGTTGTTTTGACGGAGAAATTTCTGATCAAAATCTTTTGAAGGTCGTACTACCATTGATATTTTAGGTGGAGATGAGTCCCTGAAAAAGGTAATTAGTTATCAAAACAATCATTTTATGGATAGCTCTATAAATAACATCACGTTATTAATTAGAAGAAAAAAAGTAAATTTAAGAGTATAATCATTGAGAATTCTACAAATTAGTTAATCTTGATTAAAGATTAACTAATTTGATTTTTTTCAATTACAAATTCTTTTTGGCTTCAACTTTTTCAATAAGTTTATCAAGAAGAACAAAATCCTTGGAGAGAAAGCTTCCTTTTATTGTACTTTCAAAGAGCCTGTCAATGTTGTAGGAATTTTTCTTGTATACTTTTTCTACATTGACCAAAAAACTTCTAAATTTTTGCTCTCCCAGTGTGTCTACAAGCTTCTTAAAAGTGACTAAAAAACTTTAGAATGAATTTAGGCTTCTAAAAAATTCAGCTAATCAGAAACATCAGTAAACTTCAGTCCACTAGTTTGCATAGCTTTCAGAAGTTTAGCTTTTCATCTATTCTTGTAATGGGGTATGTCTAAAACAGAACAAACACATCATTTTATTTTATTTTTACAAAATCCTGGCAAGTCAAAAAATTTTAGGACAAAAAAAAATAAAACAATTAAAAAAATTGTTTTGTAAAAATTTTTATGGTAGTTTTTTGTAAAAATGCTAATAGTTCTTACCATTTTATAAACAATGATGACTGACCATTGCAGTTTAATGTTGAGAATAAAAAGAGCTAAATTTTGAATTAAAGCGGAAAAAAATAAAAAAGAACTTTTAAAGATTCGAATGAAAATCAAATTCTGTTTTAATTTACGACCAAAGATAAAATTTTGACGCTATCGGAAATTTTTTGGGGGTACGGATTAACCAGTTTTTTGACGTACACATACAAAAATATATTATTATAAATAAAATAATTTAAAGTTAAGGTAATACATGTAATCATGACTGTATTTTTTTTTTAATTTGGTGGCCCTCAACTCTTTTCTAGTTTTTAAGAAAAAATAAATTTGTTTACAACGCCATCTGGTGTCAAAAAAAATATTTTTGGATACAGAGGAAACAAAAAATAAATGCCTAATACTTTTTTAACTTCAAGTTCGATGATTAAGGAGAACATTAAAAAAGTTTAATTAGTTTTTTTTTTTTAATATTTTTGCAATATCATAGCTCAGTTGACCACTGTGTGGCGGAGACTGGCTTTACTTTTTGACTCAAGTCACGCATCTAGTTATATTTATACGTCATTGATATAAAGTCTAAAACATCGAAATTCAACTTCAAAAAACTCAAAAAATAACTAATTAAAATTATATTTACAATTTACTCAAAATTATTAAAAATTTTAACTCATACCACTAAGAAAAATTAGGTTGGCACATAAAAAAAAGAAAAGAAAAAAACAATTTAAAAGTCACTTTGGCACTTGAAAGAACAAATAAAACAGTTAAAAAATTAGGTTGGCATTCGGAAAAAAAAAAAAATAATTCAACGGGTAGATTGGCGTTCGAAAGCAAAAAAAAAAAATATTAAAAGTTTACGTTTAGGTTTTCATAATTTTCATTTGTTATTATCAGAAAAATCTCAATAAATACATAAAAAAAATCAGCGTAAACCAGCTTTAAAAATTCGAAAATGTTTATAGGGTAAAACCACCTATAACTGGCCAGCACCGATTCCTAGCCACTTTTCAAAGAAGTTTATTGTCTTAAATATTTAGTAAGTAGTTTTCCAAATCTTTTTAATAAAAATATAATCAAGCTTTTATATTTGGAACATCAGTTTGTTACACAAAATCATCGCTACGTTATTTTATCTGAGTTTGAAAATTATACTAATTTTGTATATACCCAGCCAGCATGTCATATTGGGCCCCACATGGGGCCCAAGCGGACAGCTTTACGCGGCCCAAATGGGTTACCCACATCCCGCCCAAGGAAAATTATTGCTGGGCGTGAATTGGGGCCCAAGTGAGGAGCCCATATGGGTTGCATATGTGGGACCCATATGGGTCCCACTTTTTTATTTATTCAAAATTTTTATAATATTTTGCATGATTATTTATTTGTTTTTAAATTAGATACATTTAACTTTATACGTAGACATTAATATGTCACGCGAGTCTAGCTTTATAGAAGTAAAACAGGAAAGCAAACATAGAAAGAATAAGGTAAACAATAATAAACATTTATAAATATACCACATAATTTAAATAATAAAATAGTAAAAGTAATAATAGTCTATATAGTATAGTAAATCTTCACCTTTTTTTAAATAAGTGTAAATTAGGCTATGTTTGAAAAGACCTCTTCAAGATGTCTCATTTTATACAGATTTTTGCTTGTGGGTTTATAAAAACTCAAATAGCATATACACTTTCAAAAACTTTTTATGCAGAAAAAAAATAACTTTTAAATACAATTTAAAACTCTTTTACTACCACTAATACATGCCATTGATAGCACTATTACAAAGTCTTTAAAACAATTTGACTAAAAAAAAAAGATTTTTCGAAAAAGAGTTAATTTGAATTTAGTTGAAAATTTAAGAAAAGCTTTGATACGTAATTACATTTGAGAACTGTAAAAGAGTTTTCATAAAGTAAGGTCGGTATTGTGACTTATACTCTTTTAGCTAATTGCCTTGCGGAGTACCTCATACCATCGTGCACACGATCGGATGACATTTAAATTTAGTAAATAAGATGGAATTTAGCGCTTTTTTAACTTCAAATATGGGCCCTAAATGAGCCTCATATGGGCTAAACCTTGAATACAAAACTTTTATTTTTTAAACTACATATATAGATTCAAAAAGGGCCCCATGTGGGCTAGCCCTTGAATAAAAAATTTTTTATTTAAAGGCTAGCCTTCATGGGGCCCATTTTAGGCCCATAAATTAAGCTCATTTATGGCCCACTTGGGAAAACCCATATGGGCCCTATTAGAACATGTTCGCTGGGTACTATGGCAAATATTCCGACCTTGAAAACAAAAATGCGAAAAAACATTTCGCTGATTTATGTTGTTTACTAACAATCATAAAACTTACTTCAGTTGTAATGTTTTATTCTATTATTAAAGTTTATTTTTGCAAAATATTTTTGCAAAATGGCGGCAAACATGGCGGCTGTCGAAGAGCTTTAGTTTTGTGAACATTCTCATTTATATCCATTTATATCTTTGTAATCTTTATAATAAACCTACTTTTAAATAATGGCAAACAAATTCTCCTTAAGTTAAGTAAAGTATTTATTAGAAATGCATGAAAATACAATAATAAAAATCTTTAATGATCGTATACAAAAATTAGAAAGCGAACTGATTATTATAAAAGAAGAAAATAAAGAATTAAAACGTGAACTTAATGAAAAAAATAAAACATTCGAGTTTGTTAGTGTACAATACGAAACAATAAAAAATACATTAAATAATAAGAAAAAAAATTGACACAGTCAACTAAATCAAAAATATTTAAACGAAGAAAATAAAGCACTAAAAAATAAAGTTGCTGAGTTAAAAGACCGAAACAGGAGAAAGAACTTGCGATTTGAGGGTATTGAGGAAACCGAAACCGAAACATGGGAGAAAAGCGAAGAACTGATTAAGTATAGAGTTCGCTCATATATCAATAAACAAAGTCTAAAACTAATTTACTTTGGACTAATTCATTGCTTTATCAGCTATGCAAACATATCGTGGGCAAGTACTCAGCCATCAAAACTTAAAAAAATCTATAGTCTACAAAAACACGCATGCAGAATCATTTACTTTAAAAATAAGCGGGAGCATGCAAAACCTATAATGAAAGATATGAAAATGATGGATGTTTTTGAAATAAATATCTATCAGCATTTAATTTTTATGTATCAATTTAATAATAATCTCTCTCCTACAAACTTTACTAACAAGTTTGAAATAAACATAAATGAAAACTACTATCTAAGAGCAAATATAAGTAACACATATAAACTGCCTCAAAACCTTAATAAATATACTGAATATAGCATTGCATATCGGGGGCCAAATATATGGAATAGATATCAAAAAGGATCCAAATGTATGGCAAAGTCATTAAGTTCATTTAAGTTTCTGATAAAAAAAGAAATTTTTAAAATTTGATTATAATTTGTGCTTAAAAAGATTACAAAGTATTTTTCTTTATAATCTTATTTATTTGTTTTTATTGATCAGCGCAGCAGTTTTATGCCCATTAGGGTTTTTAATTTGATTTAATATCCATAACCTAATGAAAATGTATATAGGGGGCTCTATGAAAAGATTGCGATGACGTTTTGTCATCTTCATCTTCTTTGAGTCCCTGTCTGTTTAACTCTTTATTTTATAAAGATCATTGTAAAAAAGTATAGTTTATTTTATATACTGTATATACAAAAACGGTGCTTGTTGACAAGATTTTACTGTCTTCTTTGTTATACGGACATATTTCTTTCTTTCTTGTATATATATGTGTTGATTATATTTGTTAAACAGCAAAAAAAAAAAAAAAAAAAAAAAAAAAAAAAAAAATTAAAAATCTACTGAGAGAAAAACTGGATATTAAAGAAGGTATACAAATTGAAAGAGCGCATCGTGCTGGAAGAAAAGAACACGAAGAAGGTAAACGTAGAAATCGAACAACAATAGTTCGCTTTCAAGTTTCTCAATTTTAAAGATCGCGAAAACATTCTCAAAAAAAACAAAAAAAAAAAAAAAATTGCTGAAAGAAAACATGTATATAAACGAAGATTTCAGCGAGCAGACAACTAGTATTCGAAAACAAATTTTCTGTCAATCCAAAGATCAACGAGCCCCAGGTAAATTCGCTAAAGTTGTGTACAATAAAATAATCACTAAGCCGTCTTAAAACAAATTATATCCACGGTTATTTATAACAGAACGAAAAAAGTAAATAATAATAAAAAATGAATTCGAAAAATAATAAAGATTTTGAAAATGCTTTTAAATTTTTTCAAATTAATGATTTTAAATCGGATGACGATTCCGAGCCACACATCAATTACTT